CCGTCTGCCCTTGGTCGGTGGACCCCGTGCTGAACAGGTATGGGGGGGGAGGAGAGGCGAATCGGGGGGAGGGGAGGGGGCTGGGTGGATGAGGGGGGGGGGGAGGTGAGGGGAGTGCGTGGGGAGTGCGTGTGTATTTGTGTGTGTGTGTGTGTGTGTGTGTTTGGCTTTGGAGGGTAGCTAGGGTGGTCGGGGGAGGGGACCTGACGCCGGTAGCGGTTTTGGAGGTGAGGGGGAAATGGCGGACCGTACGGTTGCAGCTCGGTGATTGCGTCCTTCTCCACACGGGATGTGTGTATGCATGTGCCTTCACTCAGCCTTAACTCAGCACCCACAATCCTGGCCTCTTTTTTTTCTCTCACACACACATGCACACACACAAACACGCGCACACGCACCATCTCCACCCCCATCCCCGGCGCCCACACATCCACATACATACGTACGTACAGGGGTGTAGCTCTGGAGGCCCTGGGTCGCTGGTCCGAGGCGGTGGAGGACTACCGGGCGGTGCTGCAGGCCGCACCTCTGGACCCCGCGGGCTGGAACAATCTGGGGAATGCCATGGGTATGTATGTATGTATGTATGTATGTATGTATGTATGTATGTATGTATGTATGTATGTATGTATGTATGTATGTATGTATGTATGTATGTATGTATGACGTTGATTACACTGTGGGCTGAAAAGCCGGGGGCCCAGGGCCGAAGCACAGCGCGGGGGGCGGGTGCATACGGCTGGTTAGTCTCATGCACTCCGCCCCCGGGTCAGGCCGCACGGGAAACGACGGCCGGCACGCAACAGCGCTTGTTTGGCGCTCCAACTAGACGGGATCTATGCCCGTTGGTCTCCTAACATAAACGAAGTCGCAACTGGGGGGCTCTTCCTGCCGACCGAACGAACCGAGCATCTCAGAGAGCTCGCTACCAGGACTTGGGCGACCGGGAGCCCGACGAGTCTTCCCGGGCTGGGGAGGTCACCAAGCTCAAAAATCCTCACGCAAAAAAGAGCGCAAAGAGCTCACACCACAAGACGCCAAACAGCCTCCTGAGACTA